ATCTGTCCATCTCAGAAACACCGATGCGAGAGTAACAGAGAGACTGGCCTGTGGGGAGGAAGCAAGTGCACTCCATACAGCTGATCGTGTGTCCTGAGTGGTTCGTTACAGTGTTAGCAGGGCTGAGGATGCAGCTCAGAGGCACAGTGCCTGCCTGGCAAGTGTGAGGTCCTGAGTTTGATGCCCAGTACCACAAAAACCCCCAAAACATTATATTGTTAGCAGAGAAAAAGACATTGTTAGCAAACCCAAAAGTTTCTAGTTCTGCTGGCTTGCCTGTTTGGGGTTGTGGAGCAGCTGTGGGTTGCAGTAAGACTGTGGGAAAGCTGTGCCTGTCAACCACAGTGCTCCTGAAGGGGGTGACTGGCTGAAAGCCTTTGCCTCTGTCTCCCCGTGAAGTCCGCAGCATCTGTAAGATCTTGGCCATGAAGGCCGTTCGCAGCAATCGTCTGGGCTCCGCCCTCTCTTGGAGCATCCGCGCCAAAGATGCTGCCTTTGCCACACTGGTCTCGGACAGGTGAGTGCAGCTGTTCCTGGCTCTGGGGAGGTTGGAGGTCGAGGAGGAGGGCCAGGACAGCTGTTCTGATCTCATCTGGGCCGGCCTGCAGGTTCCTCAGGGATTATTGTGAGCGAGGCTGCTTCTCTGACTTGGATCTCATTGACAACCTGGGGCCAGCCATGATGCTTAGTGATCGGTTGACATTCCTGGGTGAGTCTCTTCAGCTCTGTCCCTTGAACTGTGGACCATTGTAGAGATTGGAGGACTTGTTCTAGATTGGTGCGTTTCCTTCCTAGTAACTCCAATCCAAAAAGGGACCCTTTGTGCCAGACTGCAGGTTTTTGTTTTTGAGATAGGGTTTTGCTCTGTAATTCACGCTGGCCTTGAATTCACTATATTGTCCAGGCTGGCCTTGGGAGTCCTTCTGCCTCAGCCTCCGAAGCATATCCAGCTCGGACTGTAGATTTTGTGTTTTTTGTTTTGTTTTTTTGGTACTGGGGACCGAACTCTGAGTCTTCCGCTTGTGAGGCAGGGGGCAGCACCACTTTGATATTTTCCAGTAATTTCAAGCTTAGGGAAAACTTTAAAAAGTGGCATAAGGTGTAAGGACCACCTGAATACATTTTTCATAGATTCACCAGTAATTTTTATTCTGCCTCATTTATTTTATCCTCTCTGTTGATCTCTGAGTATTTTGGGCAGTAGTTTGAGAGTAAGTTGGGAGATACTGTTCCTCTCTTTATAAAGGCCTCAGTTTGTATTGCACTGTATAAATTGTTAAGTTTCCAAAAATAAGAGATCATCACTGGAAGGGCATGTGGCACACACCTGTAATCCCAGCACTTCAGAGGCTGAGGCAGGGCTGCCATGAGTTCGAGGCCAGCCTGAAATACAAAACAAGCAAGACCCTGCCTCAACACTCAACCCCCCTCCAAAAAAAGAGATCCATCACTGATATAAATCTCTTATCCACACTATTGGTTGTTTTGGTAATGTCTTTAACTATGTCCAGGATAACAAATTTAGCTACCATCTCATTAGTGTCTGGTTTTTTTGTTTTTTGTTTTTCTTTTCCCCTTTGTTGCTAGGGTTGAACCTAGGGTGTCACACTCTAGGTTAGTTAAAGCTGGATAGGTGCTCTACACTGAGGTAAATCCCCATTTTTTTTGTCACGTCCTGGGTGTTGAACGTAGGGCCTTCACACTGAGCTACATCCTCAGCCCTTTAGGTCTCTTAAGTAGCCCAAGCAGGGCTAAACTTTTCAGCCTCCTGCTGGTGTGTGCACCACGTCTGAGTTCCAGCCCTTTTTCTGTTTTTTGAGAGAGGGTCTTGCGGAGTTGCCCAGGCGAGGCTTGAATGATCCTCTTGCCTTAGCATCCCAGAGTGCTGGGCTTAGAGGCAAGTGCCACATGCCTGTTCCCTCTCCTTGTTAGGGCTAGGGTGTCACTGGGGGGCTATTTAGGGGAGTACAAGTGAAGTAGAGCTCCTGCTCCCCCCAGGGAAGTACCGTGAGTTCCACCGACTCTACGGGGAGCAGCGCTTCAGTGAAGCCTCGTCTCTCCTGCTGTCCCTGATGACTTCTCACATTGCACCCCGCTCTTTCTGGATGACTCTGCTCACAGATGCCCTCCCGCTTTTGGAACAGAAGCAGGTAAGGTTTAAGTGTGAGAATTTTGTCTACATTTTGTTAGCTCTTGAGAGCTCAGCCTGTATCTGTTGCAGACAGACAGGAATTTTGAAGTAATTCTGTGTAAGCATGTGTCTGAGTTTTTCCTGTGCTGCAAGTCCAGTTCACACCAGAGATGGAAATGCCACAGCTACCCACTGCCAGTACCCAGCCTAGAGCCTAAAGTGAGGGCTGGACGTGAGATTAGGGAGCCGCCCCACCCTCCTGGGGCTCCACCTAGAGCCTTCCTTCCGTGAATACAGGGTGTGGCCCTCCGAATTTGGGTTCACGCCCCTCCCAGCAGACCTTGCGGCCTTTCTCCCCAGGTGATCTTTTCAGCAGAACAGACCTATGAGCTGATGCGATGCTTGGAGGACTTGACCTCGAGGAAGCTGGAGTGTGAAGAGCCCGATACCCAGAAACTTCAGGTCATTTTAGCTTTCTGGTTGATGGTTCCTTTTGGGTGGGAAAAGGATCCTTCTCAGCCTTTCTATTCTCTGACCTATGCTCCTGAAACACTGACTGGCCCCAAAGGAACTCAGACCTCTCAGCTACTCTTCCCTGTTCATTTGCCATGGCAACTTTTATAAGGAGGTGTTAGATTCTCTCGTCTCCTGGTCTATACTTTTTTTTCCTGTTGAATGGAAGTGATTTAAATGCCCTCTACCTTGCCCCGGCTGTTCCTCACACCTGCTCTCTGCTTTTTAGGATGACGACATAGAGATCACCAAGGTGGAGATGCTGAGACTGGCTCTTGCCAGGAACCTTGCTCGGGCAATTATAAGAGAGGGCTCACTGGAAGGTTCCTGAGGTCAGCCCACAGCTGCTGCAGTGGTAACTTTGTATGGAAATGTATAATAGCTTTCTAAAAGAATAAATGTTCTCTTTGGCAAACAGTCCAGCCAAGGAGTTCTTATCCACGTTTATACTATGAACCCAAGATAACAAAATGAAAGTGTTTTGTGAGACGGATCCTGCTATATTGCCTAAGCTGTCCTAACTCTCAGGTTCAAAGGATCCTCCTGCTTCAGCCTCCTGAATAGTTGGGCCTAGCATGACTTTGTGCCTGGCTTCTGTTCTCTTCGATAAGGAACTGTCTTCCCTGCTGTCCTAGAGAACCCACCCCAAGATAGAATTGGTGAGTGCAGAGTCCTGCTTATAACTGGGAACCTAAACAAGAGGGAGTCCTTGGTTTACTTAGGCTTGAGAGCATGGTTTCTCCTCAAATCATCTGCAACATTTTTTGATCATCCTAAAAGGCTTTAGAAATCTGTACTTTCTGCCCACCCACCTGGAATTCACAGATGACACCTTCCCCTTGGGGCAAATGGTGTCTGTTATAAGGATTCCAGGTAGGGTAAAAATAGTTTTATTTAACATGCAGCAAAACAGGGGCAGCAGAGTGGGTATATCTGGTACAGTTGTTTGCCACAATCAGTGACCTCAATAGTAGGAGTAACACTGGTAACTAATTTTAATATCTAAAGCTTATTAAGGTACTTTTCCACACAGTAATCCCATAGACATTCCCAGGGCGGCATCCGCTGGTCTCTGGAAAGCTCTTGGATTTATTCCTTTAGTGAAAACTTCACTTTTGACCTGTCTTGATGAAGCAGTGAAACCCGCTTATGAAAGGAAGTGAGGGAGAGGCGGCAAGATGACCTCTGGATTCACAGCAAGGAAACCTGGCAAGGGGCAGGGGCCATAGCTTATGCCACCGAGCCATGGCCCTTACCCAACTTCTGGGGCAGCTGGTAATTATTTTTGGTTGCCTTGTGGCCCAGTATGCCTTGCCCGGGTACAACTGGGCCAAGCACTGTCAGAGCCTCAGGGTCTGGGTCTTGGTTCGAGTGTAGTCCCCCCCGCCCTCCAGGCTGGCTCCTGGCTGACAGTGCCCCTCTGTAGTGGGGAGACAGTTGGAATTTCTGTGTAGCACAGAAGGACCTAATTCCAGTGCAGTATGCTTGACCCTGAGGCCTCCTGGGCCCAAGCAGAGGAGGTGCCCTACCATGCACATCTGGCAGGAAGGTACTAGGGGAAGAAAAGCAGTTTACTTCATGCTGAGCAGGAGGTAGTGAGTAGGATGGCCTGTCTGCATACAGGAGGTGCACTTTTCCCAAGCAGCTCCCAGCCCTTACTTTTGAAGGGTAAAAACTGATTCTCTTCATCTTCCTTCCTATCGCTACTTGTCTCTGTCATGAGGCCAGGTTGTTTCTAATAGGCTGAATTCCATGTCCTGCTGAGATGTCCACAAGACAGCCCGTCACTGCAAACAGGGACAAGTGCAGAACTCGTTTGGTGGCCATTCAGGAAGCTGCTGCCCACAGAAGGCAGGAAGTTTGAGGACTCCAGCCCCACTTTGGGCCCCTGGCTTTGCACACCTCTGTGGAGGTGGCACCAGAGCCTGCCAGTAGGGTAA